ATGTTTATATATTTATTCTAAGGAAATAAATTAACCGAACACATACTCAAAGGTATGCCCATACACGAGGCCAGCATACTGAGGTAACGTCTCTTGTTGAAGAAACCACCGCTGAGAACACATGCACACGAAACAGAATTACTCAATGTGTAGGCTGGGAAAATCAAATCACAATGGAAAAAAACGACAGGCTTTTTACAAAAATGTAAAGCCCGTTTTTTTTCATTAAAGTGTTGGTGTTAGTTCTTAATAAAGGATTCCAACAAAAGTATTATTACAATTCTTAATTATTCTATAATTATAATATAAACATGATTACCTGATTCGCATACTATGGAGCCTGGCTTCAGTTCTAACATCATGGTGATTATAGAGATGTCAGTGGAATATAGAATCTGCGTCCTGTGCGGAAGATTCATGGTCCACAGCTCTGGAGTCGGGTGAAGAATAAACACCCATCCTCCTTTACTGCAGGTCACTTTGGAGCCATACTTCTTGCCTATGAGGTCCGTGGAATGCCTGATGACCCCGTACTTGGTCTGAGTTACCGTGCCATGCTGGACTTTCACTGGGAACATGGATTCGTGGCCCAAGAACACAATAGCTGTGTCGCCATCCTTTATCGTATCTCCATATTCAACAAAACTCATTGTGACAGTCTTGTAGTTGGCTGGTGGTTGTCACCTAGAAGAGAGTAAGTATGTCAAAAGAGAGTTTTGCAGAATCACGATGGAACTGAAACTACAGACGTAAAACCAAATAATTTTATTTTCCCCAATATATATATATAGAAAGAACATATATATACATATATAGAACGAAACTGTGCAACTAAGATGTTAGCAAGAGAACTCCACAAAGTTCAGAGACTCCAGCCTGCTGCACTCTTGATCCAAGTAAAATCAATGGAAAGATCCCACAGATTTGAATACAACCATTATTATTTGCACTTTATGGTACATTTAAAAGAAGATTTAGGAAATATGTTATAATTTACTCAGCCTGCTCCATGGTATTTCTGAGAAACTTGCAAGTTAGTAAGAATTTCAGCACTCTGTTCAATCCCAGTTCACAAGCTCTCAAAGTATATTGTTAAGCAGTCACTTTTCTTTCCATCTGCTGGCTTATCCCCTAGTGATTTACAATGTAAGACAACTGCTACTTGCCTGCACACCAATCGCTAGTCATTAGGACCACTGACAAAAGTTTACTTGAAAGTGTTCCAAATGAAAGTTTACAGATAGGATGAAGGTAGTATCTGCATTAATTTATGCATTGATTTGACTGACTACAAGGAAAAAAGAATATTGTGGCCTTTAATTTGCCATTGGGGAGTACAAAGTAATTGTCTGGGAAGTGATCTGTGCTGCAGCTAAATTTAAACAACCATTTGCAAGCTAATGCAAACAGTCGTATCACTTTAGCCCCATGGTCTCAGAGCTGTTTAGCAAATTACAATTAAATTTTGTTTTCTTTGAGAAGACAATCTAGAAATTAGAAGGCAGCTTACGATGAAACCTGGAATTGTCTTTCAGGTAAGGCAGCTAACTATCTTAAGCTGCAGGTTGATCAGTTCATGGAATGAATTGTTTAATGAAGTAACGATGATCCCAAAGTTAGAAATTAAAGCCTATGACAGAAGGCTTTGAAAGTCAGACTTCTGCTACTTCTACCATGAGAAAATTAAAAGCAGCATTAATTTCAGTGTCAGAATAATGATGTGATTCCAGCACTTTTGTATCGAATGTGTAACAGCTTGGCCCTACTTCATTGTTTTCATTAAAAACTTTTAGTTCTCAAATTCTAGTCTGTGTGTGTTGACCAAAGCTCTAGTTCAACTTGCTGTTAAGAGGCTAGACTTAGAATTTTTCAGCTGCAGTCACTGAGAACAATAAGCAGATGTGCTTGTGTCCAAAACTTTCAAAGCCTACAACATGCCTGTTCCATAAGGTATTCAGACACCAAAGCAGAACAGGCCTGACTGGACACGTGGTGAAACAGCGAGAAGGACATTTCATGAATTCAGAAGTGTATACTTACTGGACTTGTGAAATAGTACAAATGCTTAACTGTGGTTTGTAGCTTGCATGTTCTCCTTATACTCACATCTTAACCTCTCACAGATGGCACCTGCAGTTCTCATTCTAGATCCTATTAATGTAACAGTACCACTGGAAAGGGGCTTGACTGTAATCCATTTTTTACACAGTATTTTGACTACAGTTACACCCATGTGCAAAAGCAGCATTCC